TTCCGCTTCTTTCCTTTCTTCTAAACTTGTACTCTCGTCCGTTCTTTGTTTCACACCTTTGTGTTCTTTGACTCGTCGTTTCAATCTGGCAACTGCTTGTACTACCCTTGACCAGTCAGAAAACTTCTCAAAGCGGTTGAGTAACGATCTGTCTTCCTTTGCTTGAGTGTTAAACACTAGAACCTTGCGAAGCTCCGGATCATCATCTTTAACATCTCCCACCTTGCATTCTTGGACAGGTAATTCTTTGTGCCAAAGAAACTTCGGTCCAGAGAACCAATTGGACGTCTTAAGTTGCTCTGCAGTCAACCCTCGAAAGGCATGATCTGCCGGATTGTCCTCAGATGCAACATAGGCCCATTGCTCAGGCTTTGTACTTGATTTGATTCTTTGTATTCGATTGGCTACGAACACTTGAAATCTTCTGGCGTCATTGTTTATGTAGCCAAGAACGACTGTGGAATCCGTCCAGAAGTATTCCTTCAGGTCTTGGATTTCCAGTTCGTTACGAAGCATGTCGCTGGCTCGAACTGCAACTACTGCCGCAGACAGCTCAAGTCTTGGTATCGTCATGACTTTGGTTGGCGAAACTCTTGATTTTCCCATTACCAAACTGCAATGGACTTCATCGGATTCGTCAACAGCTCTAAGGTAAGTACACATACCATATCCTGAGGTACTTGCGTCACTGAAGTGGTGAAGTTCAAACCTCTTGATGTTCCCAAAATCTGAAGGTAAGTAGCATCTTCTGACTTCCATGTCAGCTAAGTTAGGTAGGTCTGTAATCCAAGACTCCCACTGAGGTCTTAGGCTTTCTGGCAGTTCTTCGTCCCAGCCTATCTTCTCTCTACACATTTGCTGGAGAATTTGCTTTCCATGGAGGACGAAAGGTGCCATGAATCCTAACGGATCATAGACAGAGGCTACAGTAGAGAGCACACCTCTTCTAGTCGATGGGTTGGACTTTACTTGAATTCCGAACTTGAATGAATCAGACGTGATGCAGCACTCTACTCCTAGCGCTCTCTCCATGTGAGGTAGACTCAAAGCCATATCTTGATCTTTGATTACAGCACGTTCCTCTTCTGGAATGGATGCCATCACATTCTCATTGTTAGAAACAAACTTGTGGAGTCTTAACTTGCCAGCTTGACAAAGTTCACTTGCCTCCTTTACCAGCTGAATGGCTTCCTTTTCTGTGGGAACGCTTGCAAGCCCATCATCTACGTAAAAATTTCTTTGAATGAAGCGTATGGTGTCTTCGCCGTACTGACCCTGCCCTTGAGCTGCCAGGTGTTTCAGGCCAAAGTTGGCACAGCCAGGGGACGAAGCGGCACCAAACAGGTGGACCTTCATTCTGTAGGTGGATGGCTTGCTTTCCAAGTTACCACTCTCCCACCACAGGAATCGTAAGTAATCTTGGTCTTCGACTTTCACGTGAAATTGATGAAACATCCTTTCGATGTCACACATCACTGCGACTAAGCCCTTTCGAAATCTGCACAGGACACCTACTAGTATATTCGTCAGGTCAGGTCCAGTGAGCAGATGATCATTGAGACATGTTTCTTGAAATTTGGCTGAACAGTCGAAGGGCTGATTTTCTTGGCCAGACACGATTTCTCTTGGGAGCAATGCCTCTGAGCAGTTGTAGCCAATCAGCAGACCTACCTCACAGTCCTGCAGAGGGGCTACTTCTTCTTGGAGGTGCTCTAGGTGTGACCAAGCCTTTGCAGTTTCGCCAGTCGGAATGTGAGTTTTGTTGGCTGGAATAAAGTCACGCGTGTAAGACGGTGGTAAGCTGATTCTTTTGCTGGAGTAAAAGCCTCGAACTTGCAGATTCTTTACTCGTTGAGAATTAACTACTGTAGTTCTTGACGTCATAGTAGAGAGCTTCAACTTGACTTGTTCTTTGTCTGCCTCCAAAGCATCAGCTACTTCACTGAGCACAAAAGTTGTATCACTTTGGGAATCTAACAGTGCGTATACAAGCACCTCTTGTGCTGGCTGAGTGGCAGACGATAGCCAGACAGGAATTATTGAAGCTGTTTGCACAGTAGCTTCATCCTGAATGACTCGTAGAGTAGAAGCTGTGGCGGTGTCTTTGGGTTGCACTGTTTGAGGTTTTGCTTTATTCTTTTCTTGATTTTGGTTATGTGACTTCTCTTGAACTTGGCTTTGCTTAACTTGTGGTGCCTTTTGCTCTCCTTTGTCTCTCTCCTCGTGCAGACAGGTAGGATGCTGCTTGTTGCATGTATCACAAACACTCCTGCTGTTGCAGCTCTTTGAGAGATGACCTGCCTTAAGGCACCCAAAGCATAGCTTTTCAGCTTGCACAAACTTCACTCTATCTCGAATGTCTTTCTCTGCGAACTTCCTGCATATGTGCAAGGTATGCCCATTCTTCTTACAGAAGACGCACGTTTTCACAGTCTCTTCATTAGAGGTTGTAGTTAATGTCTTTGCTTTAACATTTTGTTGTCTTTGTTGCTTTGGCTTTTCAGTTTCACCTTGCTTTAGTGCTTGTAGTGATGTAACTGGGTTACAAGCTATTTTCACTTCTCTTATCAGGAACTTAACGAATTGGCTGAAAGAGGGGAACTGACCACTCTGCTCCTCCATTTTTCCATGACTCTCCAGTTCCATCTTGCGGTTAGCCAATCCGGTAACTTTGTAAGAATCCTCCTGTTTTCATTACAGTCATTCAGGATCTCCAGTGCCTTAACGTGGACCATGGCGGCTTCGCAGCTCCGGAGAAAGTCAACAAACTCTCTTAGCTCAGAGCTGTCTTTAGGTCCAATCTTGGCCCATGCTTGAAGTTTGTCTCTGTATGCCTTTGCAACTGTGAATGGGTTTCCATATCTCTCCTCCAAAATCTCCCATGCTGCAGCATAAGCAGATTCGGTTCCAAGTAGGAAATAGCCATCCAGTGCATTCTTGGCTTGTCCGCTCACATATTTGCGAAGATAGTATATCTTCTCTTTGTCTTGAATATTCTTTTGGTCGATCAGAGTTTTAAACGACAGCTTCCAATCACTGTACTTCAACGGATCACCGCTGAATATTGAGGGCTCAGGAACTGGAATTCTATTGTTGTTTAAAGCATCTGCGAGTACCTTTATGAGCTCTGCTGTGCTCTGATTCGAGGAGTTGATCGCAGGTTGTGGGGCAGAAGGTACAGACGAGGGCAGATAATTTGTAGGACATGGTGGCTTAACATCTGCTACAGTCTCACTGCATAAAATGTCTTTAGGTTCTTCTTTTATGTCCAAACCTTGATCATACACCTGCATTCTTGCACGTGCTGCACTAAGCTCCTTTATTGCTTCTAATTGCTTTATCTTTCTTCGTTTTTGTTCTAATGTTATCTGTAGAGCTGTGTGCTCTTCCTCTAGTTGAGCTTTCATTTTGGCTTCCT